TATATATATTAAAAAGAAAATAAACCGTAAATGCTTTTGGTTGAAATGTGGATTATTTTATTTTAAAATATATATTATACTCTATTTTCTATAATTCTGCTACACGAGTTTCTGGTTTCGCGACCTTCTTCAAACAAACAGTAAGTATTTCCACATGAATTTTTTGTGATTCAAATGGTTAGTGATTCAATAAGTTTATATATATATTGGACTATATATATATATATATATATATATATATATATATATATATATATATATATATATATATATATATATATATATATATATCTTATGCAGTGTTATATATATATATATATATATATATATATATATATATATATATATATATTATGTAGTGTTACATTATATAATATATGGACATATCCACTACAAGATTGCATATTTTTTTTTCCAACGTCCAAAAAGGGAAAACCATTTTTAGACGTCTCATCAGGTGGGGAATTATAGTGTTACTTAGTAACACTGTATAGTATGCAATTTTGTAGTGGATATGTGCAGGTTCTAATGTAACACTACATAAGATAAATAAATATTTACGGCTCTACTTTATGTATTGAGCACTATTTTTAAATTAATGTTTTGAACCCTGTAATCCTACTCTTCGTTCTCCTACTTTTATATATATATATATATATATATATATATATATATATGTATGTATGTATGAATGTATGCGTGTGTGTGTGCACGCGCGTCGGTGTGTATGTTTGGGCAGTAATCCCTCTTTGATACATGTTTCGTTAAACAAGACAGACAAGGTAATTTTGTTTCCTTTTTCATCCTGTTTTTCCTGTATACTTACAGATGTTTTCTTTTCTGAAATTAAAGAATGCAAAAATTATCCAAACTTTTTGTTTTTTGTTTGGCTCGAAACGCTTTCGGCTAAATTGTCAGCCATTTTCAAGGATTACTTTTTTTTATACTATTACTTTTAAATCATATCACCCAATAAAACCACTAAGACGCAAGGGGTTACTGAGTGTGAAAAAATCTGAGAGCAAAAAAACAAACTATTAAGGGGAGAGAACAATAAAAGAACAAGAATTAAGAAGAAAGAAGATAACGATTGACATTGCATTTCAATTTTTGAAGATTAAACTAGGAAATAAGGGGATAGTTCCACAAACGAGAAATGTAATAGAAGAAACTGTTGGCATAGAACTTACGGTTACTTATAGACATTTCAAATTTAAAATGACGCGATCTTGCTATTAATCCAGTACTGCGCTAAAAATTCATAAAGTTTAGATACGATAGAGGAAAGCATATCAAAACAATTACCATGAAAGTATTTATAAAAAAAAGGCACAGGAATGCTAAGTTACGGGGGTAGGAAAGTGACTGAAGTTGAGATGCAAAATTAGGATCAATAAAATTTCAGATTCTTCTTTGGATTTTATCAAGAATCACTAAATACATAGCAGAAGCATCAGACGAGATATGGCACCAATATTCAATGTAAGGACGAATGGTAGACTTATAAATAAATTCTGGCGGGAAAAATGTCCAGAAGGACACTGTAGACCAACTTTACTAGCAGCAGACTTAGCAATTGATTCATTATAATCTTTACACTTCATATAAGCGGAAAACGTTAGGTGCAACGAGACTTAAGGTTATCATCAGCCGTGCTGATAGAAAACAAACGAAGTTTTCTCAGACGATTAAATGAGAGCAGTTTCGTTTTGGAGGTGTTAAAATCAACAAGGCATTTCTTTTCTCAGTTAACAACAGCTTGTAGGTAATTTTTTAGATCAGCTGCCAATTTGACCTTATTGAAGCCATCGAACTTACTATTCAAACAGGAGTAAATAGTTGTGTCATCAGTAAAGATATTGATGCGATTAGGAAGGTCAATTTCCAAGGGCAAAGTCCCTGGGGGGAGGGGGCACCTACCTCAATGCAAAAAGATCTAGAAGACTGTTCAAAACTATAATATAATAGATGTTATAATAATATAATGCTATAATATGTTATATATATATATACATATATAATGTTACTAGCAGCATGGCCCGGCGTTACCAGTGCTTGATTAAAAAATCGTACGACTTATACAGCAATCGCTATCACTTGACTTAAAATATTTTTGCCCTTCCTTGCTTTTAAAGGAGTGCCCTTTACCGTGCTGATGTTGCTACATGCCTTATTTCTTGCCTATCTCACACTGCGAATTTTTTCTAAGCTCTATACTAAACATTAAAAAAGAAAAAAGAACTAAACAAAAATGAACACAAAACGATCAGCTTTAAAAACGGACTCGTAACTGGAAAAACCGAATGAAAAAAGAATGTTAACAACAAATACTTTTTCACACCCAACCCAGTTCTGCGGAATCAGAATCAACGTTGAGTTTAAGCAAGCGAATGAGCCAATTGGAGTAAAATGCCATGCAGATTTAAATTTTTCCCACTTGTGACGAATGCAGCTATCGATTTTTTTTTGCATGCTAGCATGCTAGTTAACATTCGTGTCAGTCAGCTTTTGGCTCTCACGCTGGCCAATAGAATCTTCCTGCCTATTCGTGGCAGCCAGATATAGGCTCTCACTCTGACCAGTAGAAAATGGCCGCAAACTACATGAAAACTGCGGTAGAAGCATGAAGAAATCGATTATTTCCACTATCGATGGGAGTTGGGAAATGCAAAGTCGGTCCTGGCCTTTCCGCTAACTTGGAGCATGTGCATGTAAATTTTGGTGCAAATCCGTCAAAAATTGTGGCCGTGCATTCGTTACACACAAACACACACACACACACACACACACACACACACACACACATCCTGCCTTTTATAGATAGAGATAAAACCTAAAAACGATATGTAATGTTAATGAAGGCGGAATACAACTGAAATTGAAATCACATTATGTTCTAACAGACAGGTGTTGGAAAAAATTGACGTTCAGTTCAGACAGCCGTCCCTCTGTAAAAAGTGGGAGTGTCTGTTAGGACGTAAGGCAATTTTAAGTTGTATACCGCCTTCATTAACATTACATATCTTTTTTATGTTTTATTGATAGATATATATATATATATAATCCGTCGATCTGGGCACCTCGAGGCGTTGTAATGGTTAACAAGCTTGTCTCGCTAGAACAGTTACTAGATCTTCGCTTTCGACCTTGTGTCACATCTAAGCTACGCTTGAAAAATCGCCATGATCCCTCGATTCAAATAATGGTGAGAATAGAATTGACTAAAATGTAATTTATTTTTTGAAGAATATATTGAGAGATAAAAACGGAAATCATTTATGACTCGGCCTAATATTTCACGAGCTGCACTGAGGGTAGAGTAAAAAGAATGGAAGAAACAAAGCAGAAATCTGTTGAACAAGGGCGAAACCGATCGACTGTGTTTGTTTTATTTTTTATTTTTTAATCATGAAAATTAAAATAAGTATAACCTTTTTTATTGCTATAATAAAATCCTGAACACCTGCAAGAAAATTATGATATATATATATATATATATATATATATATATATATATATATATATATATATATAGTTTATGCAAAACTAGGTAATCCGTATGGGTAGACCCAAGGAGGGTGATATCCAGAGAGCTCAATGTAAATTCAGAGCAAATATGTTTGAATAAAAACAGATCACTTTAAGGTTCCATGTAAATAAAGGGATCTGTATCATCAGACTTTACTTCCAAAAGTTGAAATGAAAAATGAAAAGAAACTTACACATTTTTGACGGACCGCACCAAGCGTATGTGAAATTAACGAAGTGAGGAAGTGTTTCTTTTCAGTTTTCATTTCAACTTTTGGAATAAAGTCTGCTGATCCAGAGCCCTTTAAAAGGGTTGTGGTGAAATAACTTATTACATAGAACCTTAAAGTGGTCTGTTTTTATTCAAACATATATATATATATATATATATATATATAGTGTATTTGGGCAACAATCCCTTTTTATACAAGTTTCATTGAAAATTACTGACAAGGTACTGTGGTTAATTTTTTATTTTATTTAATTGTTTCTTGTGTTCTTGAAATCTTTTTATAAATTATGTAGAAATTGTCTGAATGTTCTGTCTGGACGAGCGCTTTCGGCTATACTTTTAGCCATTATCAAGAATGATTTTTATTTTTACTTTTAAGAAGAAGAAAGTCATGTCAGAGATTGCTTCTTTCTGCTGAAACCCTGTCTTCGGTTATATGACTTGATTTGGTGCTATCAAGTGCATATTATTCGAAGAGAAGGGTGCTGCCAAGTAATCTCGTTGTCCATAGCACCACAACGGTTATCGGATTAAAGCAATAACAACTACTTGACTATCCCGTGTATTCAGTTGGGTTGTGAATATTTTTGCCTGAAGGACATTAATTAGCTGGGGGAGAAGGGCGCAGGCAAAGAAAGAGAATAATGAAGAAATCTAATCTGATTTAAACGAATCAATTCTGACTGATGAGAAATTTACTGATGCGCCTTTGTGTCTTGCCAGTAAACGTTCGGACAATATGGCGTCCAACGTTAGAATCAATCAGAATTAAGATGAATATTTGCCAACTAATATCCAGGAACGCAATCCTCATAGGGGAAACAAAAATGACTTATACATTAAAACCTAAATATCACACGTATTGTCTCGTTCGATTAAGGGACGCGACAGAGAAGAGGCAATGATAAAATATTAAGTCAACACTAGTTCAGACATAACAAGAATCAAGAGATCACTTCGTCGTGGTTTGATGGTTAACGATCTAGTCCCGATGTTCATTAGCGTTGAGAAGGAAACTGTCTCTAATGGAAACCAGACTTTGAAAAAAAGGTTCTAACAACAAAACAATCGAGATTTTACTTAAAAGATATCGAACAACTGCTTGATAAGTGTCAATTAGTCATGCAAATAAGGGTGAGTATAGATAATGACTAAAATGTAATTTATTTTTTGACGAATATAACTTAGAGATAAAAACGGAAATCATTTATGACTCGGGCTAATATTTCACGAGCTACGAATGGAAGAAACAAAGCAGGAATTCGTTGGCAACCAAAAGACGTGCTTATCCTTTTCTTTGCGGCAAAATATGGCCGGTAAATGTCGTTCTTTCGTTGTCTGTTCTTTAAAAGAACGAGAAAAATGAAGATTGCCATTTCTTCACCAAGCATTCCACTAGACTTCTTGTGTTTCCTCAAAAACTGGCATTTCGGGAAAAACTAGAACAATTTCAATTTTAAAGTCTTTATCTATTCGTTCACGTGAATAAATTTACATTTATAAATGTGTTATTTCATTGTTGCAACAATGGAAAGAATAGTATATATCAGTTCCTCTGTTGACCGTTTGGCTCCTAATTTTGCACGTTAATTCCAGAACAGGATTGCAGTCTAATCTTCTCTGAACTGCCAAGACACTTAATTCACATACAATCGGTGCATGTTCATAAATATAAGGCCGTTCCTTCATTCATTCACACAAGCTCATCAGGTAAACCTTCTGTCTGTCTTCCCCTCTCTCACTTGTCCTCAATGTACTCTGTGAGTTAAAGTTTTTAAAGTCCTTGTAGGGGAGTCATAATTTTGTGTAAGTAATTATAAACCTCTTAACATTTATGCATACAAATATACTCGTAGAAAATAAGAAAAGCAAGACGTGGGAACAACAAAACAAGTATTATTTAACTGGTTGATAGTGATTGTTGTGTGGTGAGAGAGACAGTAATACTGAATAAATTGTGGGTTGGGATCAAATATGGATCGGAATCCGACAGAATCATAAAATAAAGAATGAGTAAACTGTACACAAACTTTCTCGCATGTTTTTTTTTTATATAATGTGTGTAGCGAGTATCAGGATAGTTGGAAGTGTCTGGAGTTTTCTTACCTCGAATTTTGGTTATGAGTGTTAAAAGACAAATGGTATCGTTGTGGTTACATATCTATGGATGTGTTATGCGTTAACACATTATATTAGGTTGGTGCAAAAATAATGACGTAATAATGTCGTTTTTTGACGTTAAAAAATACGTCAAAAAACGACATTATTACGTCATTGTTTTTGCACCAACCTAATATATATATTGTCCGGTTCACTCAAGAAAAGGTGATGGCATTAAATATGGAAGTGTTTCAATCTCCTTACTCTCCTGACCTTGCTCCATCTGACTATCATCTTTTCAGTTCAGTGAATCATTTTCTTTTTAGAGGAAAACACTTTATTACTTTGTGAAGAAGTTAAAACTAATGTTTATTTGCATCAACGTCAGAGACATGTCACACCCGAGGAATAAACACTTTTCCGATCAGATTTAATTATGTCATCGATAATGAACGGGGAATACCTTTATTAAATATATTAAAACCTTGGCAGCATAGGTTCTTTTCCAACTCACTATATATATATATATATATATATATATATATGTATGTATGTATGCGTGTGTGTGTGTGTAGGTAGGTCGGTACCGCCAACGCCAATCGATACCTAAGGTTTAAAACACTTAATTTAAAAATTAAAAATCTTTGTTAAAGCATTTTATCTTACTATTAATTTCAAGCTAATTGATGAAATTTATATTTCTAATAAGCAAAATACTTTGCTGTATTTCAAACTGAATTTAGCAAAAACGCTAAAATCATCCATATTGACAAATCTGTCAACACAACGTAATTCTCTATATTAAAACATCTTTCAAAAATAAAACATACTTTTCTGAAATTTTATTTGAGGAAGATTAGGTGATTTTTAGTTTAATGAATCTGTTTTGAAACAAATATTACTTACCTTTAGTTTAAAATATCACAGAAAAGCATTTCTTAACATTGACATTTGTGTTTTTATGAGGTGTTGACAACTCTTTCGATAGACTTATGTTTGAGAATTTTTTTCTTAGGGGAACATAACTGTAGCAATTACTTGACGAATATATTACACAGTAATCATAAAAATTTAAGAAAATATTCTAAGCAGTCTATTTTTTTTTTTTTTTTTTTTTTGAATTTTGCCTACTTTGGCTTTATAGCATTATTACGAAGACGCTTGTTGAGGAATAAAAAATAACTTCTAAATTTACTATAGTTACCGCTCTACTGGTAATGTCGTGTACGGGAGCCCGTATTTACAACAATCGACACCTTTATACTCCCCCATGCAATAAATTCAAAATACTTTTTAAAATACTAATATGATTAGTATAATTAGTTTTTGCTTAATAACAATATCATCTAACCGACGCAAATTAATATAGAATTTTAAAAGATTTAAAACTTTATAAATTATTCGAATTAAAATGTTAAAAAAATGAAAACAATCCTTGCAAAATTTCAAGAGCCATCGAAAAATCTTTTTTCTTACGATAGTAGTGTCCATAATAGTGTCCATAATTTATCTTATTCATAAAAGTAATTCAAAGCTTTTCTAATTAAATATTTTTTTAGTTTTACTCCATTTTTATTCAGAGCATATTTTCTGTAAGTGGGGTGCGGGTCTTGTTTGAAAAAATGATTAAATGATTTGTATTTATAACTAATATAAATATGATTTGTATTTATAACTAATATAAATATGAATTTCTCGAATTAATTAGGGGGCGATAACAGATATAAAAATATTTTTACCACGATTTCCTACAAAAAAAAGTTTCTAAAATAATTTAATTCATTTGTGAATAAGTCCTGAACGTTTCATTAAAATTATTTGATTTTTGCAAGAATTTTCAAATCAATGTGCTGCTTTTCATCGCAAAAAAAGCTAAAAGTTTCGATACTAAAGAATATGCAAGAAAAACCAAATATTGAATCAAAATTTCGAATGTTCTAAAAAGGATAAAAAAAAAAAATAATTTAATAATAATCAAAAAATCCTTTGCTCTTTCCTCTTAATAATAACAAAGATTTTGCTGATAAAACTTAGTTTTTATTCAGTTTAAGGATTTTTTTAATCATGTATGCGCATTTTTTAGCGAGTCTTTGGAGGTACACACACACACACACACACACACATATATATATATATATATATATATATATATGAAAAAAAATGAAATAAGTTCTTGAATAGTGACATATTAAATCAACGATATGAAACTACAGTAAATTGTAAACATATTAAAGAATTAACCTTACAATCTTGTTAAATTTCATAACTCAATAATCACTCCTCTTTTATTATATTATCTTTATATAAATATTTTAATGTCATCATCAGTGATTTATTCTACTTTAGGTATTATATTGGTTTGTATTCGTAAATTATAACTTGGCTTAATATTTTTATTTTTTCTCTTACTGTATTGATAAGAGTTTCTAATTTAAAATTAGTATAAAAATATTAAAAGTTTAAAATTCATTTTATATTCTAATTTATAATGTAAAGTTGGTTTTGTTAAGTAATTTATTGCTTCTTAGAATGTCCTTTATTTACGTTCTATGGATAAATTTGTTTGAATTTGTGATTTCATTAAAAACGCCATAAAATCTCATTAAAAGATGCCATAAAATTTGAAAGGCGACATTGTTAACCAATGTATCTATTGCCGTTTCAATTTCGTTAAAAATCGAATTCTTTTATTCAATATTATTTCATTGGCTTAATTCGTATCAACATGATATTTCTTAACTCCTTTTGTATCTGTGTAATTTTGAATATACTCTTCTTTTTCTGTCTATATTTCTGAGATGAGGTATTATGTACATTACTGTGGGATCAGGTTGAGATCATAGACAAGGAACACCATTGGAAAATTTGTAAACTTAAGGAATCAGCACATAAAATATCATGAGCTGGACAAGTATAGAAATGAATACAATTTGGGAACCAGTAATAAGGGGTGCCAGGGAAAAGCAATAATAATAACAAAAGTTACAATATGAGCTCTGGTAAAAACAAGAAGATGACAGCAAAAATTGAAATATGAGTACTGGTAAAAATGGTTACTGTAGACATTAGGTTTATAACACCCAGAAATTCATACACAGATGTCCTCAAGGACACATGGCACAGTAGATAAAGACGTTGGTTAGTGACAGGACCCGAAGAGTGTGAGTTCAATACCCGGTTAAGGCAGTGGAGAACTTTCAGAGGGAAATTAACAGGCGATAACTTAAAACTGACATGGAACTAGAACAGTCTACTCCAGTGAGCGAAATAAAGGGTTCAGTTCGACATTCCAACCACCTGAAGAAGGTCGGAGCGTACAACGGCCGAAACGTTGTAATAAATATGGCGTCAAAGAATAATTTTTCTTTTTTGTCTATTCTCTTGGTAGTAAGGTTTTTATATCTCTTATGCTTTCTTTTGCCTTTTTCCTCTTCTTTTTCCTTTTGTTGATTTCTTATTTTCTTTCCCTTTTTCTATATAAAAATCCTTTTTTATTTGTATGGGAAATTTTCTAAAAACGGAAAATGAAGTGAAGTTTCATTAATTCCAATTTTAAATAAGATCGTTTATTACCATCATTGTTAATTACCCGAAGAGACGTTTTATTTAAACGTCGAAACAAAATGTACAATTTTGTAGTAATTTAGTAATTACGTTCATGTTCTAATGTAACAGTGTATAATATATATATATATATATATATATATATATATATATATATATATATATATAGATAGATAGATAGATAATATTAGTGGTAAATATACATACATATGCAAAACATATAAATACCCATACATGTATATTTTTTGAATAAAAATTCCAAGAGGAAGAATCCAGGTAGAACTCTATGTCCAGGACAGAGTAAGGATATAATAAAAAGGCTTAAACACTAATATTCCATGGTTATATATATATAATTCTGTTCGTACCTATTCATATCTATCTATCTATCTATCTATCTATCTATCTATCTATCTATCTATCTATCTATTTAAATCTGTTCCCATTACACACACATAAAAAATAAATCAATAAAAATAAAATAAATAAAAAATAACAGAAACTTCTTTGCTTTAATTTGCAATGTGTGGTGTTTGAAAAGAAATTAGCACGAGTAAAAAAAGACTGACCAAGTAAAAAAGACCCGTGATTAATAGCGATGACGAGACTCTAGCTTTGTTGAATTGCAATAAATGGACAATAAAAGTAAAACTAACACAGACGTTATGGCGGCGAAGGTAAAGAGTTGATGGTATGTAATTGATTTAATGGGCAAATCGAAATTGTTTCCCGTTAATAAAAAATATCTAATGTGTTAGAGCGTTCTTCTTTTTATTTATATATACATTGTTGACATGTTACAATGTCCGTTGTTTGAATAAAAATAGACGACATTTTATTTTGAAATGACCCCAATGACTATATAAAAAAAAACAAACAAACAAAAAAAAAACAAGTTAGCTCTGACTGACAACAGCACATTCCAGGAAGATACCAAATCATTCCTTTTGGAACCACAACAGTTAACAAGTAATATACATTTTTAAATTTGTGATTTTTATGCTGAACATTATCCAGTTAGAGAAAATCGTAGTAGCTGTTAGAAGCTATAAGATTAAGTTCTGTCTGCTGTAAACGGAACATTGAGAAGAATGACTATGGATGCCCAATTGGAGATTATTGATAGAAAAAAATCTTCTTTCGCAAAGCATCACTAGACTAGAGTAATAAGTTAGATTTTTGGGGGGAGCTCTAAACTTATACGAGACTAGACTAAAGATACCTTATTGGTGATCACTTACCTATCATTCTTTGTCTGTCTGTCTGTCTGTCTATCTCTCTCTCTCTCTCTATATATATATATATATGTATTTCTTAAACGTTATTTTTAGTGGATATCAATATTTGAGTAGATGGTCTGTTTTTATTTATTAAACAGTATATTTATTTATTTCCATTTGCTAGCTTAAATATTCGAGAAATCTTATTAGAAAAATATGCGTTTTCCGGGTTGATTCGAACTTGCGTTCCCCTGAGGGAAACCATTATTAGATCTGATGTGCTTTAACCACTCGGCTACAAAGAATCTCCAGGCCAAACAAAGCACGAATAGTTTTGAACACAGACTTTTCCCGATTCACGAAATAAACATCTCTGTTTCGTATCCTAAGGTAAACAAAGACAATTTTTAGGAATTCATTTTTTTATTTATTAATCCAACATATTCTAATTTATTGCTTAAACGTTATTTTTAGTGGATACCCATATTTGAGTAGATGCTCTGTTTTTAATTATTAAACAGTATATTTATTTATTTCCATCGACCGGCTTCAATTTCCGAGAAAACATGAGAAAATATGTATTCTCCGGAATATATACTTTCTCGAATATTCAGGCCGGTAGATGAAAATAAATAAATATACTGTTTTAAAAAATAAAATATCTAATCAAATATGGGTATCCAATAAAAGTAACGTTTCAGCAATAAAAAAAAATATGTTGGATCAAAAATAAAAAATCAATGCACATACACACACACACACCTATATATATATATATATATATATATATATATATATATATATATAATAAAAGGCTTAAACACTAATATTCCATGGTCATAATTTATTCCATTGGAATCGTAAATACGATCCAATTCATCAGACCTACAAATTCAAAAGAAAACAACAGAAAAGAACAACTCCGGAAATAAAAATAGAATTTAGAGAGTGTGTAAGTATGAGAGTGTGGGACGAATGTTAGTGTTAAAGAGAGGGGTAACAGACGAGAGAAGGTGGAAGATTTAAACTTAACAGAGAGGTTTTTTTTTAATAGAGGTGAGTGGAAGGGGGAGATATGAATGCATATATATATATATATATATATATATATATATATATATATAATGTCATTCTGAACAATTTCACTGTATCACTTCAGTGTGACTAGGCGTCCGATTTTGGCATCAGTCAGAGATCCTATCCCTACGATATATATATCTATATATGTGTGTGTGTCAGAGAGAGAGAGAGAGAGAGAGAGAGAGAGAGAGAGAGAGAGATGAAAAGAGATGCATTAATCTGTGGTTCCTTTATCATCTGCTTCTCAGCTTAAGAGGGAAAGGGAAATTTTAACATCTATGTCTATATTTCTGAGATGAGGTCTTATGTACACTATTTACATTATTCGGACTATTGTCCTCATCTTTGTTGCCATATTTATCACAACGTTTCCGCTGTTGTATGCTCCAGCCTTCTTCAGGTGGTGGGAATTTTGAACTGAACCCTTTATTTTGCTCGCTGGGGTAGACTATTCTAGTTTCACGTGCCATGTCTGATGGATGTCAGTTATCAGTTCTCCTCTGCCTTAACCAAGAATTTCTGGGACTTATAAACCTAATGTCTTCAGCAACCATTATTTTATTGCAATTTTCCTTGTTATTATTGCTTTTCTCTGGCACTCCTTATTACTGGTTCCCATATTGTATTCATTTCTATGCTTGGTTGGCTCAGGAGATTTTTGTGGCCTAGCATATGTGCTGATTCCTTAAGTTTACGAATTTTCCAATGATGTTCTTTGTCTATGATTTCAACCTGATCCCACAGAGGGCGGTGATCTCTCTTTTCTTTCCATATGTGGTCAGCCACGCCTGATTTTTCCACTTCCCCTCGTGTTACAGCTTTTTGGTGTTCTTGAAGCCATTCTTTAGGGGGGTGGCCTGTCTCTCCTTTATATTTCTTTCCGTTTTAACAGTGGCCCGGAGAGCTCAATTCAGTTGAAGAACAATGCGTTATTTGCAGTATGAGCCACTATTTTTAAAATTACCCTTTTCTCAAGAGAGCTCAACTGAATTTCCCGGGAGCATATATATCGTCATCCACAGACAGACTCTTTCGCTCTTCAGAGTGGCTTCAAGCTTCCTGGGTCGAAACCCGACCGATTTGGCATCAGTCAGTGATCCTACCCACTAAGCTATCGTTGCACGGCAAGGAGAAAGGTAAATTTTAACGTTTTCTGTACGAAATACGCCATTATATATATATATATATATATATATATATATATATATATATATATATATATAGAGAGAGAGAGAGAGAGAGAGAGAGAAAAAGATGGAATGGGAGTAATATTGAGACAGAGATGCATTAATCAGTGGTTCTTTTATCGTTTGACTGTTTTTCAGCGTAAGAGTGCCCTTCTGTCCGCCATGAAAAGTGTGATCTCTATAATCATATCCAAATGAAAACCGCAATGGTTAGCCGTCACTAAAAAGAAGAATCTATCCTCAAACTAGGACTACACCCGAGAAAAGTAATGCTCTTTGAAAATTGTCAAAAATGTTGGAAACTTTTGAGCCCAAAACAGTTGGCTATCAATTTTTATTTTTAGCGCGATTGAATCAAAACACCCATATAAACGTAGACGGTAAATGATTTTATATGAAGCTGAAGTGTCTGGAGTTTTTATGACCGGCAGTAAAACCAACGAAGTAAGATCTTCAAAGCGGCCACCCACTGACTAAAAAGAAATAAAATAAAATATATAGATAAATAAATAAAAAACTTTCGAAAACAAGTGCCACTTGGTCGGAAGTTAGAGGAACTTATACAAACTGCTACTGTTAGAATAGTATCTTCGATGCCGTCCGCTGGCAGGCTACAGCCGTCCTTTGAGAGAAAGAGAGAGAGAGAGAGAGAGTATTGGGTCATCTGTTAGAATTTTGAACCGCATGTCGAGTTGTAGATATGAACAGAAGAGAGGTAGGAGAGAGTAGGAGTTCTGGCTGTTCCGTTAATGTATCATGAGAGAAGTATCAGAAGTTGTCCCAAGAGTTACGCACCCTCCCAGACCGTGCAAGTGAATCCCTCAACAAATCACTAAACATATATGAAACAACATTGACGAATGGAACGAGAATAATACGAAAGGCTTCGATCGAACCCCGTTCACTTTCATCAGCGCACCGGGGGACGCATACAGAAGCTGAATCCAAGTGCGAAAGTACGTTCCGAAACAGGCGGCAGAAAGGATAGTCTCCTTAAATCGATGGTCAACCCCATCGAATGCCTTGGACTGATCTAAATCAGCGCGGCGTCACTGCCGACTTGGTCGATGATCAAGCGTACCAAATGAAGATTGTCCTGAATTGTCCTGTCCTCCAAAGAACAAGTCTGCTCGGGGACAATCAAACTAGAAAGGACAACCTGCAAATGGCTGGCCAAGATCTTGGCTAAAATCTTTAACTCTGTGTTTAACATCGTTAAAGGCCGAAAGTTACCTAACCCATCCCCGCCGTTCTTGTCCTTGCGTAACAAATTTATAACGCCCCTGGTGAAGCGCTGAGGTATAAACCCTTGCTTCATCCAGTTTTTGTAAATCAGTTCCTGAAAAGGAACAAGAAGGAGCGTACAGTTCGTAAGGAAGACCATCTAAGCACAGTGTTTTGTTCCAGCCAACCAAGCAACTTCAGCGCTTCCCAGATTTCCGACTCCGTGAGAGGACCCTCGTACAAAGCCACTTCCGTCGCCTCGAGGCGGGGAAAGTCAGCCAAATAGGCATCGAACTGAGCAATGCTCATATCGGCCTCCCTGGTGAAAAGATCCAGAAAGTAGTCAAGTCTCACATACACTCGCGTTTGTAATCACGGTTCGTTTATCTGGCAATGTGACGCATGCGATATGTCGATGGGACACATTTCTAACTTCCTCTGCACGCAATTCAGCGACCATATTCGCCACATCGGATGACATTCTTTTTAACCTAGCTCTAACTACCAGAGTTTGATCCTTCTTGATAAGCAAGGAAGTCTTCTGTGACTGGGCTAAGGCTAATTCCCTACTATCACGGGATTTAATCGTCTGATCAGCGCTGCATTGCTTACATTGCGCTGCTAATATAACTAGATTGAGCAGACGACTATTATAAGTAGCAAACGATATAATTTAGGATTTTAATTTATCTCATAACATATTCCCAACCACAGCAACCCCCACGCC